GAAGGTAAGTTTTTAAAAGATTATTATATATTGGGTTAGAAACTATTGAAGCGATAGTTAATTATTTTAAACTTGTTATGGGTTGGGCTAGAAACTACCAAAGCGAAGGTAAGTTTTTAAATATTATTATATATTGGGTTAGAAACTATTGAAGCAATGGTTAATTATTTTAAACTTGTTTGAATTGAGCCAGAAATCACCAAAGCGAAGGTAAGTTTTTAAAAGATTATTATATATTGAGTTAGAAACTATTGAAGCGATAGTTAATTATTTTAAACTTGTTTGGATTAGGCCAGAAATTATCAAAGCAAAAGTAAGTTTTTAAAAGATTATTATATATTAGATTAGAAACTATTGAAGCGATAGTTAATTATTTTAAACTTGTCAATCGGATACCACAACTCTCTCCATCGATCATTCCGACCATTTTTGGAGCAGAAGAAAAAACGTAAAAATCACAAATTTTTTACTAAGAAACAGTAGCTGAGCCCTTAAGAAAAAGAGAAGAAAACACAAAAACACATATAACTAAGATAGAGAATAAGAATACAAATAGAAAACAAAAGGCCAGAAGAAGTTTCAACATAAAATAAAGCGCTAGAAAAATTTTTTATCGACAAAAACTGGGAACTGTGTTTACTCTGAACTGTAGATCACTTCACGTAACACAAACACGTGAAAAGAGTTAAACAACAAACACGTTATTGATTAGTTTTACATGTCACGTGGCTACAACTGGAAACCAAATACGCATAACCTAAACCGGAAAACTCACTGGCAAAGAGGAAAAAACCTAGGGAATTTTGAAAAAAAAGGCGAAGTCACTTAAGAAAGATTAAATAGAAGTTTAATATAATAGTAGTAGACACAGAAAGTACTGGTAAACATACAGATTAGATAGCTAATAGAAAAATGTGGAACAGAGATAATATGATGAGAATGACTGAGAAAATAGCTAAGGAATACGGTAAAGAAATTTTAGCTAAGGCAAGCAAATCTGTGATAGGATTCGAAGAACACGTAGATAAGATAGTAGCAGAGATAATTGGTGTAGAAAGTGAAGTAATAACAGCAGCAAGAGAATGGAG